ATTATTTTTTCCTTCAAGAACAACTTTCAAAGGCAGATTCTGGGGCCGGGGAAGAGCACCACAATGCAATTCTTTGGAATCTCTCTCCGCTCCCACTCCTCACACCCCTCTATCCTGGACATTTTGTCCAGGAGTGCTGACGTCGCATCCTGCTGAGGTGCCAACGTGTGGTTGGCAGAAAAAGGAAAACTGGCTGGAAAACTGGTATTTATTTAATGGAAAAAAGAATAATTAATCATTAGACCAGCAGGTCTCAACCCCATGGTGAGCTACAGAGCACTCTGAGTCGGTCACTGAAGCTGTTGTGTTTCCCTTACACTCCTGCTCCTGCAGGGCTGAGGGAACAGCACCAACCAAACAGCACGGCCTACTGTTTCATAGATTCACAGATTCCAAGACCAGAAGGGACCATTGTGATCATCTAGTCTGACCTGTGTAACACAGGCCACAGAACTTCCCCCAAAATAATTCCTAGAGCAGAGCTTTTAGACAAACCTCCGATCTTGATTTAAAAATTGCTAGTGATGAAGAATCCACAATGACCCTTGAAATTGTTCCAATGGTTAATTACCCTCATTGTTAAAAATTTACACCTTATTTCCAGTCTGAATTTGTCTAACTTCAGCTTCCAGCCATTGGATCGTGTTATACCTTTGCGTGACACACTGACAAGACAATTTATCAAATATTTGTTCCCTGTATAGGTACTTATAAACTGTGTTCAAATCACCCCCTAACCTTCTCTTTGTTAAGCTAAACAGATTGAGCTCCTTGAGTCTATCGCTATAAGGCATGTTTTCTAATTCTTTAATCATTCTTGTGGCTCTTCTCTGAACCCTCTCCAATTTATCAACATCCTTCTTGAATTATGTCACCAGAACTGGACCCAGTATTCCAGAAGCAGTCACACCAGTGCCAAATACTCCTACTCGAGATTCCCCTATGCAGGCATCGAAGGATCACATTAGCCCTTTTGGCCACAAAGTTGCACTGGGAGCTCATGTTCAGCTGATTATCCAGCATAATCCCCAAATTTCTTTCAGAGCCACTGCTTCCCAGGATAGAATCCCCCATCCTGTATGTCCTACATTGTTTGTTCCTAATATACTCATTTACATTTAGCCCCACTAAAACATCATATTTGCTTGCGCCCAGTTTACCAAGCGATCCAGATCACTTTGAATCAGTGTCCTGTCCTCTTCATTATTTACCACTTTCCCAATTTTTATATGCTTGGCAAACTTTATCAGTGATGATTTTATGTTTTCTTCCAAGTCACCAATCCATGTTGACTCGCATTAATTATTCTATTCTCCTTTAATTCTTTATTAATAGAGTCCCGTATCAGTCACTCCATTATTTTGCCTGAGATCAATGTCATACTGACAGGCCTTGGTCATCCTGTTTGCCCCTTTTAAATATGGGCACAACATTAGTGTTATTCAAGTCTTCTGGAACTTCCCCAGTGCTCCAAGCCTTATTGAAAATCAACATTAATGGTCTAGCGAGCTAATCAGCCAGCTCTTTTAAAACTCTTGGATGCAAGTTATCTGGACCTGTTTATTTAAAAATGTCTCATTGTCGCAGCTGCTGTTTAACATCCTTCTAAGATACTAGTGGAATGGAAAGATTGTTATCACCATCATATGACACTACATCACCTATTTTCTTCCCAAATACAGAACAGAAATATGTATTGAACACTTCTGCCTTTTCTGTATTACTATTGATAATTCTACCATTTCCATCTGTCAATCACATACAGCTCCCTCTGTACCAGGGAAGTAACAGCTTGGTAGCCTGCCAAGGAACAGAAAAGAGTTTTGCCAAGCAGTAGAGCCTGAATCTTGGGAGCACTGCTCCTGCCTTACTGAGCCTTCTCCCACGGAGCACAGCAGGAAACCCAGCACACTTCTGTTCACACCAAAAACTCAATGGCACTGAAGCTGCTGGGCCCTCTAACAACTCAGAGGCCAACCAAAATCAAGAAGAGAATGCTGCAGTTCTCCCCTTAACACAGATGTCGGTGAATGAGAACAGACACTGGATGGATTTTAAACAGCCACAACTTTATTAAACTTGGCACAAGGGGGGGGGGGGAGCTACCCAGCTGTCACCTATACTCTCACATACCAGGCATTTTAAGTGGTTCCAGTGTGGAGGTTACAGGGCTCCTACCATACAACCCATAACTTGGGGTAGACTCATGGCCGGCTCCAGCGTTTCTGCCGCCCCAAGCAATTGGGGACAATTGGGGAAGAAAAAAAACAACACAAAACGCGATCGGCGGCGGCAGTTCAGCGGCAGGTCCTTCGCTCCTAGAGGGAGTGAGGGACCTGCCGCCCCCGAATTGCCGCAGGTGCCGCCCCTCTCCCTTGGCCGCCCCAAGCACCTGCTTGTTAAGCTGGTGCCTGGAGCCGGCCCTGGGTAGACTCTCCTCAGCCTACCCCTATGACTCAGATTCCTCTTCTGAATCCTTTCGCATACACACAAGCCCACATCCACAGCACCCCTATCCCATGAGCACAAGGCCTGTCAGCAAATTCTCAGGTCTTTTACTTCTGGGAACTGGCCCATTTATCTTTTTAACCACCCTAGAAACCTGTGAAGAACTAACAACCCTATCAAGTATTACCAGTACCCTGGGGGGACGTCTGTAATTACTAAATTCTATGACTATTTAACCTAACTGTGCCTCCAGGAGGCTGTGAGGAAGGCAAAAAGCCCATCAGGCCTCTGCCAATTTGATCCCAACGGAACTAAGAAATTCCCTGGTGACTCCCTAAAACAGGCAATCAGTCAGAACCACAGCATCTGCTAAACACAGCTCCAAACCCACAGTTAAGGGGAGGCGAGGCAGGGCTGCTGAAACAAGAAAAACAGACTCCTAAGGACACAGGCTAAGGTTTAAATCAGTTAAAGGGAAAAGCAAGAGACCAATCATCTTCTCTCCTCCTCCAGCTGATCAATAGGTCAACAGAGCCTCTGGAGGAGATAGGGCCACTCCTATTATCTCCAACCTGTGCTCTCCTGCTTCCCAATCAACACTGATCCCATAGTTTGAAGTAGGTGGGTGGCATTTTCCCAATCCCACATCTCTGCCATATGGAAGAAAAAGAAAGATTCCAAGAGATGAAATCTTGCCAAGTGGAGACAGAGAGAGGCAAAACTCCACCTATCAACCAGAAGGGTCTGAGACAGATGAGAGGATGAAAGGGAGAAGAACGGAGGGAGAGATTTAGAAAAAGGGGCCATGAAAGGTGAAGGGGAAAGTTCTGGCGTTTTTAATGCTGGAACCTGCCTGGATTTAAATTTTAGCTAGGTCAGAAGGAAAAAAAAGAGGAAGAACAAAAATGAATTAAAGCACAAAACAATACCTGCCAACATATGAAAGCTATAAATTGGTGCATTTGAGGTCTGAGTCAATGCCAATGGACATCTATGGAGATACTCCCGTTGACTTTAATGGACATCAAATCAGGCCCTTAGAGAGAACCTTTTAACACACTAAACTAGGGGAGAATTTTCCAGGGACAGACTTTTAAAAAGGTATTTTTCTGAACAATAGCAACTGCCCCTTATTAAAGAGCTATGTCTGTGCGCTGATATATGGTGTCATGGTAGGAAAATAGAGGGCAGTTTTAGGATCATGAATGGAGAAAAGTTGAGAATCTCTGTAGATCAATTGATCAAAAACTCTCCAAGTAAGAAATGTATCCTTATGCGTCATCACTGGAAATCAAGTTTCTGTTCTAGAAAGCTACACAGCTCAGTTTGTGTGTAAGTCATTCTGCTAAATTTCAAGTCATTCAGCACAGTAAAGAGAATAAACATCGAAAATAGAAAGGCAGTTTTATGTTTTTATATGAATAAACCCACAAATCACATGTAACAAAGTAAGAAATACATTTTACCATGCTGTATGTGCATTTCTGTTTTAGTCATATGGATCAAGACCAGAAAGTTAAATGGGGCAGGAAAGCTTTTCATAATGTGGTGTGTGGCTTTTGGAAAGCATTGTGAGGAATTTTTGCAGAGGATGACCCTTTTGGAACAATAACAGCAACTTCTGAAATACTACTCTTTGGAATTCAGACAAAATATCTAAGGCAAACTCTGCAGGGCAGGGGAAGAAGAAGTAATAACGAAGTGTTTCTTTTCTTTCTCTGAATAGCTGTATAGCAACCTATTTGTTAAAACACATTACATACAAATTATTCTTCATCCCTTGAAAAATTATCTCCTCAGTCTGAATATACTGTATTAAGGTTTTTGCTGAATTTAATTCTACCCTTCTTATTCTATAAGTACAGGGTACTGGGGACGGAATGCAAAACTGAACAGTTTGGGATTCATAGATCTGCTCCTTTGAGGTACTCAGGGACCCCAACCACCACTGAAGTCAATAGGAGTTGAGCCTGCTTGGCATCTGAGAGGATCCAGTCTAAATGCTTTAGTGGCTGCAATGGCACAAGGGGCAAATCTAACAACATGGCTGGGATTTCGTGGGAGCCTACAATATCATACGCTTTGTCATGAAGTGCTACAACATTTAACAACAGTTCCCTGGAGAGGTGGTGAAGGGGAAAGTTCAGTAGTTTTTTTCAGCAATGGAGCCTGCGAGGAGTCAAATTTTAAGAGGTGAAAGTGAGCTTAGGGATCTTAATTTTATCCATTGTTAGTGTTAGTCAATGTAATCAAACTGTTCCCAAGCCTTTCACCATCAGACAAAGGTAGCAGATACCCAGAACAGGATAACTGGGGTCACAATATAGAAGTGAAGTGCATTGACAGGGAGAATTTACACAGCTACTGACTTCACCGATATACATCTGGCAGTTACTAATCAGTTGCTAACTTCCATGTGAACTAAAATTCACCCCATAACGTTAGAAATAACCTTTTCAGTTAAGTCTGTCGGTTCTATGTAACCACATATATTTTTTTTTGCACAGATAAAATGTTTAGTAACATTCATTCACACAAAAGTTAAGGCTTACCATTGCTGTAAGACCGAAAATTTCCTATAAATTTTATGTATTCATATGTTGGAAATTCCTTCGGGTTCAAACTTCCTCTCAGAAGATGACAGTAAAACTCTAAATCATTGTCAGCTGGATTGTTAGAAAAAGGAGAAATAAATAAATAGGCTATTTAAACTAAACACGAGTGGAAAATTTGGTCCCAATCCTGCAACTAGTAGTGTATGACTACACTCGCTCAGAGCCCCACTGAGCACAGTCCACCAGCATGCTAATTGCAGGATTGAAGCCTCTGTGGAAAGAACCCTAAATAAATCCAGAATGTTCAACACTCCTAACAGATTTTTTTCTCATGGCTGATTTGCAGAATTAAGGCCTCTCCACTCCATTATGCCAATTTTATTAAAGGAATTAGACTGCCATAAACCTGGTATAATGGAGTGCAGAATCAGGCCCTTAATTTAAAACCCTTATTTATTTAGGTTTTTCTTTCCATAATTCACAGATTTTTCATGTCTTCTGTTTGGGGGGAAAACTGTCAATTTCTTTTAAAATTAACATTGGAATAGCAGAGGGTTTTCTATATAGTAGATTTTTTAAAAATTGTGTAGATTTTATTGTCATGTGTTCCATATTTTTTGCCTCCCCCACTCTTAGAGCTAATTTAGATGAAGTATGTGAAAGGATTATTTATGAAAAAAAATTAAATGATAAAATAAATTCGGATTAATTTACACATATTTCAAATGTAATGTAAAACACAGGTGTGCATCACTAGAGTATCTATGGACAGAATATAACTGTACTAGGTTGAAACATCAATTAAGATGTGATTTGTTTCCACTGAACTTTTCTAAAATTTCCATGGTCAAACCTGTTTTCCTTAGCTCTCCCCTAAGACACGATATTTTATAATTAACATAGCTGCAAGCAGTCTTGCTTTAGTAAATAAATGCAATGAATCTAGTTTGAAATTGAACAGAAGCATCATTCCTGGTGGCAACATTTGTTTCAAAATGAATGAAAATATATCTAAAGATGCAAAATATTCATACTGACATATATCACAGAGAGACTCCACCCTTGCAAGAGAGAAATCTTCTCTCTCCCATGCTTTTTGTTTAGTGGGAATGATAAAACAAAACATACTCTTTAGGGAATCTGATGAGGCAGAATCTGCCATAAGCATACGAGAAGATAATATTTTATAAACTTCTGAATGTTCCTGTTCTGGGAGGAAATTTAACAAATTCTGATCCATGACGTCACACTGCAAAGAAAAGAAAGTACAAATGATCAAAACAAAAAAAGAGTGGAATTCTCATTCTCCACCAACCTGCCATTTTCCGCAATTGGGACTGAATTTTATTTGCGAAACCAAACAGAAGGCCCAATTTTCATAAGCAGCTGTTTAAACTTTCCATGCCCATAGGCACTTAAATACACAAAGTGCCAGATCCAAAGCCCATGGAAGTCAGTGGGAATCTTTCTGTGGACTTCCATGGGCTG